ACAACCTTTTTTTAAGGTGTATTCTAATAGCTCGTGCTTTAATGCCCCTGCACGTGTACCCCAATTTAATGAAGGCTCTGGGAATTCTTCCTCAAAATTCTATAGGAACCGGCCTAAGTTCCACAATCACATAGGTGAGTCTATCAAGAGTACTCCTGTAGCCTAGGTACCCCCTCATACAGAGCATAGATTTCATTAAGAGTTTCTATTATCTCATCCTCTTATTAATTCAGGATTCATGCTTTACTTGCATTATCATCTCATATTACTCACAACTTGTTGTTACCCATTGAACCTATTTCTTGGGATCTCCAGTCATTTAGGTCAGGTTACCATTATGAGCAACTCATTTTCCTATAGGCATTAGTCTCATCTTATATGATGTATTATAGACTTTCTCTCTAGCTAATCCTTTCGTCAAAGGATCTGCTAAATTTTCATCAGTGCGTACATGATCCACTCTTACAACTCCTTTAGAGATACAATCTCTAACAGTGTTGTGCTTTCTTCTAATTTGACGTCTTTTACCATTATAATAACGGTTCTCAATTTTTGCAATAGCCGCAGTACTATCACAGTGGATCAACATAACTGACATATGTTTTTCCCATAAGGGAATCTCAGTTAGCAAGCATCTTAACCAACTTACTTCTTCACTAGCAGACGCTAATGCTATATTCTCAGGATAGTATGTTTCTTTGATTTCCAAGATACAACTCCTCTAGCTATGTTGAATACATAGCCACTAGTTATTTTGGAATCATCTCATAAGGTATTCCAATCTGCATCATTGTATCCTTTAAGTACAACAGAAAATCCCTGATAATGTAAACCGAGATTCATGGTCCTCTTAAGGTACCGTATGACTCACTCAATAGCTTATCAATGTTCATTACTCTGTCTACTAGTAAATCTGCACAACAATCCCACGACATATGCAATGGCGGGTTTGGTACAATCAATGGAATACCTAAGACTTCCAATGATGCTCGCATATTTTGTTTGTCTAACACTTTCACCAGTGTTCTTAAGCAGCTTCACGCTTGGATCATTTGGTGTGCTCACAGATTTACTGTTAAAGTAATTATATTTCTTTAAGACCTTTTTCAGATATTGTGATTGACCCAAAGAAATTCCTTGCTCAGATCTCGTGATCTTGATGCCAAGAATCACACGCGTTTCTCTGAGGTCTTTCATATCAAAGTTGTTGCACAACAATGATTTCATATCATTAATGGCTTGAATGTTTGATGAAATATGAGTAGATCATCTACATATAGACATATGATAGTGCAAATGCAATTCTCAAATTTGTAATAAACGTATTTGTCATTTTCATTCACACTTTGTACCCATTCAATATCATTAAGTTATCAAACTTTACATGCCATTGTTTTGGAGCTTGTTTTAGCCCATACAAAGACTTGTCTAACTTACAGACCTTGTTTTCTTGTCCATGGATCACAAATCCTTCCGGTTGTTCCATATAGATTTCTTCTTCTAAGTCACCGTTTAAAAATTTGTTTTAACATCTATTTGGTGTACTATTAAATTATAAATAGCAGATATTGAAATAAGTACTTTAATGGATGTAATTCTAGTGACAGGAGAAAAGGTGTCGAAGAAATCTATATTTTCTATTTGTATAAAACCCTTAGCAACAAGGCGAGTCTTGTGTTTATCAATAGTTCCATCAGGTTTTAGTTTCTTTTTCAAAACTCATTTACAACCGATTGGTTTGCAACCAAGAGGCAAGTCTACTAAGTGCCAGGTCTTGTTAGATTCTAGATCTCATCATTGATAGTTTCTTGCCATAAATCAGCATCCAGAGATGACAAGGCTTCTTGAAGATTCATTGGATCTTCTTCTACATTATAAGCCGTATAATCAGGCTCATAGTCTTTAGCAACTCTTACTCGTTTATTTCGTCGAAGTTCTGTTTCTACATTGTCGTTGCTTTCTGTGCTTCTTATCACAGGAATGTGACTCAATTATGTGCCCCCACTATTTCTCAATTTGAAAGGAAATTTGTCTTCATAGAATTTAGCATCATTTGATTCTATGATCACTTTTGCCTTTAAGTCATAAAACCTATATGCTTTACGGTTTGCTGCATACCCAATGAAAATAGATTCATATGCTCTACTAGCGAGTTTAATTCGTTTCAAATCCGGAATTCTGACATAAGTCAGACAACCCCAATTTCTCAAATAAGACAAATTTGGTTGTCTTTTCTTTAATATATCATATAGAGAGATCTTATATTTTGACTTGGGGACTCTATTCAGGACATAGCAAACAGTCAATAAAATTTCCCTCCACCAGTGAGGTGCAGCACCAGAATTCATCATAATTACAACAATAAATTCAGTAAGAGTTGTATTCTTTCTTTCTGCTTTACCATTCATTGCAAGATAGTATGGTGCAGTCGTTTCATGTACAATTCCATGTATAAAATTCATTAATAAACTAGAATCATGCAGTTTCTCTATCACTATAAATTCTTATTATATCATTTTCAAATTCTTTACAAAAATTTTAAACATATAAACTTCATTCTTCGTAATGGCGTGCAAATCTACCCCAATAGAATGACTAAAACCCTGTCTTATTTAAAAGAAAACCAGAAACAATATTCTTTCTAATCTTAGGAACATGCATAACGTTCTTTAATATTAAAGTCTTTTTGAAGGTGAAATTTAGCTCCATGTCTACAATTCCAGCAACATTCGTGGTCTAGCGATCTCCAAACAACACTTTCTTATCTTTAGTATTCGTGTATGTTTTAAACATAACACGATCATAACAGACACAACAAGAGACGCAAGTGTCTATCCACCAACCAACATATCCACCAACCATGTTGATTTCAATGACTATAGCAATAAATTACCTATTAGTCAGGTTGACCTGTGCCTTAGGGACAACACCAAGTTCAAGCTTACTTCTATATTTCTTAGTCATATGACTTGATTTTTCATAGTTAAAACAAAGGGAAACCAACGCCATTTCTTTTAGGTGGTGGTTGTTGCCTAGTTGGAGCTATTGGGATCATAGAAGGGTTCCCATTCTTAATTCGGTTCACAATATTGTGGTTCTGATTCTTTAATCAATTGTCAAATGACTTCAGAACTACACCGAATTTCTTTTTGTTGTTTGAGACAATCAAGACTTTTACTTTTTGATATTGTCTCTAAGATTCATTTTTTTAAAACAGTCAAACTATGGGGTAATTTGTCAATAATAAAACCAATTTGAAATTGTTCATTTAAACACATACCTTTTGTGATGATCTTTTAAGCAATCTTTTGAAGTTCGTAACATTGAGCATCCATCAACCTTACATCTTTGCATTTGATACTTTAAATAGCGGCTAACAACATACTTCTTTGCTCCAGCTTCTACGTCATACTTCTTTTTCTGAGTCTCCCAATCTTGTTTTGCAGTATCACATCAACTATAATTATCATACAGATCATCTGCGAGTCTATTCAAAATATGATTTTGTAGAGATTTTCATTCTCTTTCTCTAAGGTGATTTTTTTCCTATGTTGTAAATCGTTCGTTTTAATCTGTGCAGCAGATTCAACTTCAACACTATTAAGTGTTCCTTCTAAATCTCCATATTTACTACTCGTTAGTTTGTTCAATTGATCCAGAAGGAGCAACAGAATGTCATCGATTAGAACGTTAGCAACTTTTTTCAACGTTAAGAACTTATCTTTTGTTGCCAACGTTTGAAGTGACTTCCCTCAAACATGAACGATTTCTCAAAGACAATATCCGCAAAAAAACCAATAATTTCTTCAGTAGCCATGGCAGTTTGAAACGTCTTAAAATTATTGTTTTCGGATTTTGAAATATTTTCCACCGAAGAAATTACTAGGTTGAGTCGCGGACTAGGTTGCTCTCTTTAAGACGTTTCGCGGCACTGCTCAAAATTATGCAAAGCAGTCGAACTACCGCGTTATCTCTGGGATAAAACAGCTCAATTGGTCTAGAAATACAACCTCTGATGGTACAAGACTATTCAAATATGGTATCAACACCACTCGTAGTATCTGATACAAAGACCAGTCATAATAATTTCTCAAACAAAAAGAAACTCAAATAATTCTCCAAAGAGAAATTAATAATGGTCATTTGACCACTCAGAATAATTTATCCAACAAAGAGAAATTCAAATAATTCTCCAAAGAGAATCCAAAAGATTAAACTTGAAATTTTCTCAACTCAAATGAGGAGAAATTAACATAATTCTCCAAAGAGAATTCAAGAAAATACTCGGAAAATTCAACGAGTAGGAAGAAAGGGGAAGAAGATGGCGCTTCAACAATTCAAAAGACGCCGAGTTATGCGAGTGAGAAAGGAAAAACTAATATAATTTTTGGTGTGATTTGGAATGAAACATGTGCACTCCTTATATAGTGAAGTAAGGTAGTTAATATTTCTCACATGAGCAATGTGAGACTAAATGATTTTTTTTCAACCAAAAAGATATTCTAACAATATGGACTTGAGAAATTTTTAAATTCAACATATTAGAATATGTTCCATCAGTAAGTGATATTAAAGTCTTGATTTATGGAAATATAGTATTTTCCTCTCATCTAATCTTTTAGTATTAGCACGCACGTTGTTGTTCTTGGCACTAACTTCAACTTCCCAACAAGTGGTATTTGAATACTACTAAATTAAAATACAACTTGAAAATGTCGAAATGATTTTCCTGGTATAAATTTCTTGGTTTGGTGGAAACCAACAAGTTATGACGAGTGCTCTACACAATGTCTTCCATTGAACATTCCATTAGAAAAATTAATAGGTATTTCTTTATAAGAAAATTTGAAAGCTTCAATGTTCAAATCATTCAACAATTTGGCAAAAATCCACAACAAATTAGAAGTTCTCCGATGCTACCTCCTCTAAAAAAACTTTAAAAAATATAGCTCTGAATTTGCAATTGATAAATTTAAAAAGAAAAATAATAATAATCATACCATTCATTTTTGTAATAATGTCAATAACCCTTTTCTGGCACTCCTCGCACTGCATATCTGCAGAAAGAACCACTTCCTGAACCTGTTTTTATACCAAATCAGAACCAATCCATCAAGTTGAATATTCTTAAAAAAACTCTTATGTCTAAAATCCAAAATAAAGTAACTGAAAATACAAACCATTGGCTTTGTCAAAGATTCCATAGAAGCTAAACAAGTCTCAATATGAGGGAAATCCTTTGAATTTTTTCTACCAACATTACTGTCTTTAAAAGCCATACCTGTGATAAATTAGGTGTTCAACCGTATCATAAAACGAGCCTTTTAAATTGTATAAATTCAACTGGTTAGAAGCTTCTATCCAATTGTTCTGAGAGTTTAGTATGAGGAAAATGATCTATGAACAGCTCCCTCTACACTGATAGAGCAGTACCATCTCTATTGTTTAGTAGTTGGTGGATCGCAAGAAATGAAATAACATGTTAAAGTGAAAAAGAAAAAGGTCTTGTGCCTAATTTGACAGAGATTGTTCTGTAACTAACATGCAGACATAGGATTTTTTTTAAAAGTAAGATATAAAAAGTACAAAAGAAAAAATGTTATATTTCAACAAAATTACAATACAACTAGATCTAATCAATCAACAAATTATTTGATTTTTATATAACCGATTGAAGGAGAGATTCAATCCAATTTTTAAAATATTATTTACAAACTCTTTATAAAAATGTCAAAGGAATAGACTTCTTAAAGTCTCAAGAATCATGATACATTGAAAAATGAATACGTCTAAGTTTCAAGAATCATGATACATTGAAAAATAAACACGTCTTAAAGTCACGTTAGAAAACTTTACACACATCAAATGACAAGAATTCAGAGTACACTCATAATCAAATCCTAAAATCCTAAAATCTCAAACTATAAAACCTAAAAAGTTCATTATTAAGCATAAATTATCTTAAACCTTAAACGTCACAGTTAGATTTGATTAGTGTTTGTAAATACCTCATTTATAATCAAATGTATTCACAATATTGAAATTCGAAATCATTATCAAAGACAACACTTGAAAAAAAAATCTTCCTATATCATAAATTTTTTACAATAGCATACAAGTATAAATAAGTACAGCATTGGATCCACGATCATATTCGTGTGACCGAGTTTCATCCTCTAATATGACCGCTCTATCCCGCTCTGTTTTCTTTGCGTACTGCAGGCATGATTATTAACATAAAATTTTATATTTTTAGACTTAAAAAATGCAGTTTTCACGCGCTTTTCCCGCCCCACACTCACTTTTTTACAAGACAAACCTAGATTTTAGGTCCTCATCTTCAACTATATCCACCCTGTTTGTCACCCCCTACTCGTAAATGCTAAAACCAAACAAGTGACTCCTTTTATTGTACTATACTAGGATTTTTCCTGATTTGGATATAGCAAAGGGAGGTAGTCAATTCCGGATGAGCTGGCAGTATTATACATTTAATATGTAATCAAACTTAATACGGCAAACAAACAATCAACGGGTTATTATATTATTTTTCTATTCTACTTAGCCGGCTTTGACTAACTGCTACTATTGGATTCACAAGTGCAGGACACCACCTTTTTCAGGCTCAACGTGTGTGAGTTAACAAAGTAACCACAAAACCATTAAATTGAGAGAAAAAATTAATACTATATCACAAAACCACAAGTAACCACCTTTTCCATCAACTGAAATATTCACACAAGATAAAAAAAGAACAAGGTAAGCTTTATATTGGCCCAGGTTACACATTGTTTGCAGCACAAGCACAAACAGAGGTAAAAACTATCCCTAAAGTCAAAGCCAACTTCGGTTATTCCACTAACTTACACTTTCCTGTCCAAAAACGTGCGACATCCTTGCTTCAAACGGATACAAGAACCCAAATAAAATTGAGGCTCCGATGCCACAAAATACCCAAAAATAAAGGGGTAACACAAAAGACTAATTCCTAAGTTAGGAATGGATGAACAAAGGTTTTAAGGGTTAAATAAATAAATAAATAAATACTGGTATGATGAGGTAGGTAACCCTAAAAGCAGACACCATGCTAAAGAAAACAACATGGAGTCACCTACACATAACCATGTTGGTTAACGATGGGACGACTGAGGAGCTGAAAATGGAAGGATCTCCCTGGTATTTGTAGTCATCTTGGTCAACTTTCAATGAAGCTGAAATCGCAAAACTATCTGAATCATCCGACTCTAGAATCGATGGGGACAATTTCCTGTGTCTATCACTATACTTTTCCTTCTGTTGAGAGGTACCACCTTGATTTCTTTTTCGGGATGACTTCCACCTTAACTGGGATAATAAAACATCCTTCAAAAGATCTGGAACAACCTCGGGCTTTCTAATAAGTATATCCCTTTCAGAAAAACCTGAGTGAATATTAGTCTGCTTAGATTGATCCCCCAAAGGTGCTGCATTTGATTTTTCGTAATCAGATTTGGATAAATTTTGTTTTGTTTTCAAGTTTGATAATGATAATTTAGAAGCAACAATATCTGGCCTTTCCCTTAATTTCACCCACCCTTTCCCTGTCCAATCTCGAGAATGCCGTAAGTAACTAGGACCAAAAATGGAGACCGCCTTTTCACCTGCAGAAGACATTAACTTGAGAATTAATAAAACACCTAAAATTCAATGAACCACAAAAACTGTCAACAAGGTTACACATATAACTATGTTGCAAAAAGTTCAATCAAAAGGCCATACCTGGGAAATAAACGTGATATTTGGCATGATATCTGGCATCAAGCTCTTTTTGAATCACAATGCCTTCCCACCATCCATCATGCCACCAGGCATCAACAATGTAACCAACATCAGCCACAAATGACATTCCACGTTTGTTTGTCTGTGGTCGGATCTTGGTCCTCTCAGGTAGTCGGAGACCCAGATCATCAGGTACCACAATTCTAGAAGCTAAAATCCATTCCTTCAAAAATAAATTAAAAAATAAATGTCAGTCTCATCATATAACAAGTATTTCAATACTTGAGAAAAAGGTCAAAGATATTTTAACACACCTCAAGCCTCATAGCTTCATCCTCAGCATCCAGAAGGTCGAAATATTGCACCTTCACTTTATCTTTGCTCTTTTTGATAACTGAAGCTCTAAACCAACATCCTCTAATTCCACTGTCTTGAGAGAGGACCTCAACATTGGAACCTACAGCTAAATAATGTGAAGCAAGTTCATCTGTCTCTTTGATGGTGGCCATCTTGGTGGACCCAGCAAGTTTTAAGGAATTGTTTCCACCGCTGGTTGTGGCATTTGTCTCTTTGATGGTGCCCATCTTGGTGGACCCGGCAAGTTTTAAAGAATTGTTTCCACTGCTGGTTTTGGCATCAATCTTACCATTACTCAAATGTTCCGATTCAAGTGCAACTAACTCAGCCGCATCTGTTCTGTCAACTTTTGTACACCGCTGTCTCTTCATAGGTCTGACCCTAGAAGAAGATGGGAGATTTTCTTCCAGTTCTGGGCCATCTTCGGATTTCCCTGCACTCCCATTAGACTTTGAGTCAGAGTTGGCACACATGTGCCTCAGTATTTCCTGTTTCCAGTAACCATTAATTTGAGTTATATCAAAGGGTTTGACATCATCATTATCAAACTTCTTGCTGCACACAAATGGTTCGGGAAAGGCGTGACGAACTTCATTCCGATACATTGCATAGTGCTGGGGACTGAGGATGGAAGTCAAACCATCTATGCATTCAATACTCAGATCTTGAAGAAAAAGAGAAAACAAAACTTCTCTGTCACTAAAACTGTGAGGTAAAACAATACCAACCTCATCAATTCTGTGAAACCAGCGAACTACAACCATCCTGTTGCCTCTGGAATCCTCGTACAAGTCTTCCAAGTAGGCAACCAGACGTTTGTTCTCTTCTGCTAAAACAAACACAAAATCATTCACCTGAAAATAATTTGAAACAGCAGTAGCGAGAAACAAATTTGAGTCAGATTAGAAAACACATGTGGTGAACACAAGAAGATAAAAGTAATTAATTCATATGCAGGTGCAAAGATTTATGTTACACTGTCAGTGAACCATAATAAATCCAAAAATTTGACCTTCATCATATCTAAACTAAAAGTCATACAAATGGATTGTAATTGGTTGAAGGTGTGATGCATCAAAATTGCTCTTAAAAGAAAAGATGAAAAGTAGATATGATGACTCACAGATATTTGAAAACCGTTCCGCTCAAATGATTGATAGTGATTTCTTCTTTTCCTACATGTCTGTGGTAACCCTACCCATGAGAACTCTTGTGTACAATTGCGCAGTTTCTGCATGTTATTATCCTGAAAAGAAAACAACAAAATAATTCAATAATATGATTTGATTCAAATCAAATTAGAGATTCAAGAAAGCAGAGTAACAGATTCAAAAGAACAGACAAAGGTTCCAATCAATACCTTAAAGGTTCCAATCTCAGGTTCATAAGCATATTTTCCAACAACCATAGTCGCTTCCCTGGAAGAAGAATCTGAAAATTTCAGAGGTAAACATAACAAACTTAATTTCAATTTCAATAACAGAAAGAAAAAAATAATAGCAACATCCAGAAAACAAAACAAAACAAAAAATGAATAATAAACAAACAAGGAACCAGTAGTATATTATCATCAACCACCACAGGTACCTCAGCTATGACTGTGATAGGAGATTCTAGCCACGTGAAAACAAAAAGCATACGTTCCAGAAATAAATAACAATTTCAGATCTAAGCCGCTCAACAATCAGAGATACAAAACCAAAAACCCTTTAAACCAAAACCAAAACCAATTAAACACAGAAAAAAACTTTAATAAAATTAATTAAGTATATGAAGAAGGATATGAATAAAACCAATAAAAAACCTAACTAAGGTGAGAATGAATTAATGAAAATCAAACAAAACAGATCTCCGAATTGAAAAATAAAAGTTTTTAGGAGATTAACGGAAAGGTATGAATGAACATACCTGAAACGATTGAATCCAACCAATCAAGAACTTCTCTACGCGATTTGAGTTTTAAAAAAGGGCCCAAAGAAGAGTCTCTTATAGCATAGTGATAAGACATATGCCTGGGAGTCTTCTCTTTACCTATAAGAGCGAGATCCGAACCACCACCGCTTTTCTTTTTCAGAAAATAACGAACCTCCCTCCTGCCCTTATCCATCGACACCACTACCTCCTCCCAGCTTACGTAACGTTCTTCAGAAAATCTCTCTTTCAAAGCCATAATTCAAAAAACTGTTAGAAAACGACGAAAAATACTCTGTGCGTTTATCGCTGACGTTATTCTAGTATGAAATCTGAGAGGGGTATATATATACAGAAGAAAAACACGAATGAGGAAGAGAGAGGGGGTTTGAATTGCAATTTAAAGAGGGTCTAGGGTTTCGAGATCTGAGAATCAGGAATGATCATCTAACGGTTCAGATTGGTCTTGCTATCATGGTATGTTATGTTAGGAAAGTCGTAGGAAGTTACGCGGTAACTTTAAATTACGGTTGTATCCCTTCTAATAGTTTCGGTTTACGCTTCTATCCTTTTTGTTTTAATTATTTTGATTTTGCAGAATAATTGCGGGTCAAGAAAGGAAAGAATTCAAGAATCACTGTTTCTTCTTACCAACTCTCAACAATTACAGATAGAATCTATTTTCTCTCTTTTATACAAGCACAAAATTTTTTCTAAATATTTATTTGTCTGTGCAGAATTTATATAATATATGAATTATTTAAAATCAAATAGAATGAACTGATATTTATTTTAGAGTAATCTTATATAATAAGAATTATTTGAATAAAAAAGATAAACATATATATTTGTCGAGATTAATTTTAAATTTATTTTAATTATAATTTATTTTTTAATAACAATCATAAGATAGTGAAAATAATAAATAATTAATATTTATTTTTTGCTTTTTTTATTTTCATAATTTTTTATTAATAAATATTTTTCTTAATAATAAAAAAATTTCTTTATTTTATTTCAACGATTAGAGCTTATTTTTTATCATCAAATTAGGACAGATAGAAAATTTTGGTTATTACCATTATGAGTTATTCAATAATAAATCAATAAAATCATTATTTTCCATTCCTCTAAAATTCTTCGGCGTCATTTAGTTTAAAAAATTAAATAGAATTTAATATAAAATTATCTATAAATTTTTTTGGAATAGTTCGTAGTCATTTTCTAAATATAACTTTTACTAATATGAATTTGGAATATAAAAATCAACATTAAATGTATTTATACAAATATTGTACGTGGGTAGTTTTTTTTTTTGGATAAGTTCACGATCATTTTCTAAATATAACTTCTATTAATTTCTATTTGGAATATAAAAATTCAACATTAAATGTATTTATGCAAATATTATACGTGGATAATAATTGTAGTCAAATTATACATATTAATTATAGTATCAAGTATTTTAATAGATATAAAAATTTCAAATCATTTTAAAAATAGAAATCAGTTAAGTAAATTATTATATTTATAAGGGAAAATAATAAGAGAAAATATAATAAGAGAAAATTATATATATATATATATATATATATATATATATATATATATATATATATATATATATATATATATATATATATATATATATATATATATATATATATATATATATATATATATATATATATATATATATATATATATATATATATATATATATATATATATATATATATATATATATATATATATATATATATATATATATATATATATATATATATATATATATATATATATATATAAAAGAGAAAATAATATTTATAAGGGTGAGTGACATATTTTTTTACAAAAATAAACAGTCAATTGCATTAAGAATATTTAAGAATTAAAATTTTATAAAAATAATATTTAAGATAATTTTATTAATTTAAAGACTAAATTGATAATTGGTAATGGTTTAAGAATATATTAATACTATATTTGTTTTTATAACGGGTGAGTAACATAATTTTTATTTACTTTTCAAAATAACATATCTTTTTATTTATGTTTGTAATTAATTTTGAAATTTTATTTTAATATCTTTAAAATAAAAATAAAAATATCAATTTCATTAAAAAACAAATTTAATATTTAAAACTATGAAATAAGTCAGATGATTTTATAATAAAATAAAAGCTAAATTATCATTTTGATGTCCGCCTATTATATTCAATTCACGAAATTTTAAATAGTTTGTGTCCTTATTTTAAATTTTGATTCAAAATACGTTGAAATATAATTTTTTTTATTATATAGTATTTTTTTGATGATGTGATACAATAATTATTATTTTTTATTATCTAAATTATTTTGTAATTAAATCAAAACAAATTATATTTTATAATAAATGATTAACATTTTTCAATGAATTAAGAATATGTTAAAAGAATTTATTTGGGTCAAGTCCATCTCTTATTCAATATATCGTACTTTCAACCAATAGTCATATATTAAGAGTTAAATTACACAAATTTACATTTTTTTTCATTAAACTTCATTCACATTTTAAGTTTGAATCAAAACGGTAATTTAATCTAAAATAAAATATTTAATTAAAAAATAATTAATATATCACGTTTACTAAATGATTATAAAAATATTTAATTGGTTAAACTAATTGCATATATAATTTTATCATTTAAAGTGTAAAGAATATATATATAACTATTCTCAAAGGATCACATCATTAGTTTCTTTGTCTTGTTAAAAAAAGCATTATTTTCTTTTCTTAATCTATAAAAATAATTTATTAAGGTTCTCGTTAGGATTTTTTTATGTTTTAAGCTTTTTTAAATTATATTTTCATTTCATTTTGAAATTTTATATATATATATATATATATATATATATATATATATATATATATATATATATATATATATATATATATATATATATATATATATATATATATATATAACTATTTTAAAATTTTAATCAACATAAAATCTCCGAAATTAGTCTCATATTGAGTCACATAACTATTTTTTATTTAAATCATAATTATTTTATATTATAAAATTACTAAATATTTTCCATTATTTTTTTCTAATTCATAATTATTTAATACATAAAATTATCAAATCTTTTTTATTTCAATAAAATCAAATCTTACACTACTATTTTTACAAAACTTTTACTGATCAAAATCTTATAGTATTAATTTTACCAAAAAAGTAATCTCAATACCTAACTAATCAAAATTTTAATATTTCTTATTATCTGTTTTAAATAAATTTTCATAAAATCAACATATTTGATATTAATTTATCACTATTCTAATCCCAAAATCCTAATAAACATAAAATACATCTATATTAAGTTATTTTGATATTTCTTATTAACTGTGCGGTTTACTAAACAACCTAAAATGTATTTATACTAAATAATTTTTATATTTCTTATTAATTGTGCACTTTTAAATTGAATTAGTTTTAGAAATAAATAATATCTAATCAAAATTTTATGTGCTATATTATTTACAAATCTCAAAATATTTGTGATTAATTTATCAAAATATTTTTCAATTTATTTTTGAATTTTTCTGAGCTATATTATTTAAAGATTGCAAAACTAATGTATTTTAAGAGTATATAAAAAAACATATTATTGCCTAATTTAACTATTTTTAATATTATGAGTTGAAATTTTCATAAAATATAAATATTTACTATTAATCTATCATTGTTCTATGATGAGAAAAACACAAGAATGTGGTTGAATTGTGTTAATTTTTTCTCTTTTTTCTCTTACAAATCTTTTATGAGATTCCAATTCCAATGACAGAATCTGAGTCAGAGTCGGATGGAGATAGCGGTGGAATAAATTTGTTCAAAAATAAAGAAGAGAGTAAGAAAACACACAAGTAATTATCATAGTTTCTCCTACAAATCAGGAGTAGTTCAGTTCCCTTGCACTTCTAAGATTCCTACTATAACTGAATGTGGTTACAAATTGCTCAATCACACAAGCAATAGACTTCAAATTCCTAAACACACAAGTAAGAGACTTCAATACTAAAGCACACAAGCAAGAGACTTCTAATTGCTCAAGCACACAAATAAGAGACTTTAACGCTCAAGCATACAAACAAGAGACTTTAATGCTCAAGCACATAAATAAGAGACTTCCAAATGCTCAAGCACACAAGCAAGAGACTTTCAGATGCTCGAGCACACAAGCAAGAGACTTCCTACCATTTATCTAGTAGATAAATGATAATGATAGTTTGATAATTACACTTGATATACAATCAGAGGTGTAAATAGAAAAACACAGAAAACTCTAAGACTTAAGAACTTTTAAAAACGTACAATTGATAAGAGGTTTTGAGTCAACTTATGTTCTTTGTTTTGACAAAGTAACTTCTCTTTCTTTGTCAAGACACAATGTTGTATATGTCTCCAAGTCTCCGGCTTCTTATATAGAGAATCGTGAAAAGAGTCATTGGAAAAGACATCTTACACAAGTGAGTCTTTGAGAGAAGCATTAACAGATCAGTTACAAAGATTCCTGGAATGTTTAATGTCGTTGAAATTCCATTTGAAACTCTTTTGCTACAAAAGGAATTATTAGTTGCAATTCTATAGGAGAAGACAAATCGACCTTAGAGTTTGATAGTGACTTGCCAGACATTCCTTAGTTCTTAAGCTTTGACTGGCTTCAGGTTCTGATTCTTCAGAGTCTAAGTCTTAACTTTTGATCCTTCATACTTTGAGTCTTCATATGTTGACTTGATCTTTAGATACTGGCCTGATCAGAGTCTAGAGTCTCTAGGTTCTGATCATCAGAAGTTGGCTTGATTGGAATGTGATTCTTCAAAGTCTGATCTTCAGAATCTACATCTTTATGTTGAAAGTAATTTCTTGTGTCGAAGAAGTTTGTTCGACAGAGACAAGGGAGTGTCGAAAAGATTTGATTTGATTTAGAAGTGTGGAAACAGTTTGTTACACACAAATTTGATTTTAGATTTAGATAAATTTGATTTAGATCTAAAATAAAATAGATTTGATTTAGTTCCAAAATAATTTTGGACTTTTATAGTTTTGGACTTTGGCTTAGAAAGCAAGCTAACTTAAAATTATAAATAGGGGAAGTAACCCCTATTTTTGTAATCAACCCATTCATTCACAGCATTTGCAGTTGCAAGTGAATAATAAAGTTTTCCACAGTTTGTGGACAGAGAGAAACTCTGCAGAAAAATACTTTCTT